TAATGAGGCAAGAGGTCCCCAGCATCCTCTGGGACGAGGACTCTCATGCTGCCTTTTGCCTGGCCCTGCTCTGGGGATGGAGGGGACCGATCTCACCTTGAGCACCTTGAGCACCTGCACCTTCTGGTCCAGTCCACAATCCCCCTCAAAGTGCTCTTCCCTCAGGAATTTTTGCACGGTCCACACAGCCTCCAGAACCTCTTCTTTCTGCTCCCGGTGGGGCTGCAGCCACTGAGCCACGAAGGAGTCCAGCCTGGAGGCAGGGGTGCCATACAGCTCCATGGTCAGAGCCATCTCTGAGCCAGAGGACCACAGCAGCACAGATATATGGCTACACACCTACCCGGCTCCCTGCACACCCACTTCTTTAAGGGTGCTCTTCCTCCAGCTGACCGCCAGCACCCTGGGGGGCAAAGGAGCCAGAGTGGAGAGGAAACCAGGAAGCGACTGGGCTGACCTGGGTTCCTCTTCTTGGAGACCCTTTGCTGCGGCAGGGGCACTGAGGGACACTGAGTCCAGCTGGGAGTTCTGGAGCCACCTTAACAAGCTTGGCTCCCAGCCTAATCTTTTTGGTATCAGTTTCCATTCTCAGCTTTAGTTTCCCTTTGATGACATCTGGAAACTGAAACTGGCTTGAGTTTGGCCCTAGAGGAGGCAACACTCCCAGTAGGTCAGAGTGGGATGGTATTCATCAAACCAGTCACCCCACTTTGTCATATGAAACTGAGGCTCAGAAAGACGGGGACTTGCTCACGGTCGGTAAGGTTGAGCAAGGGGAAGCCAAGAGTCCAGAGTCCCTTAGAACAGACTTTCAATTCCAGTCTGCCCTTCGCCACACTCTTAACGTCTCTGACCCTCCCATAATTTATCCATAAAAATGGGGTTAGTAATGATACCCTACCCCATAGGTTGTTGTCCAGATTAAGCATGAGAACACTGAGCACAGAAAGCACTCAATAAATGCAAATACTATTATTCATTCATTAAATACCTATTGAGCACCTGCTAGGCGCCAATATGTTAAAAAGACAAAATAAGACGTGGTTCCTGTCCCAAGGGGCTCTCAGAACAGTAGAGGAGATGGACAAGAGACTCTGAGAGCCCAGTGTGAGCCTTAAAAGACTGGGGATCTGGCCAGGAGGAAGAGGAGGGCAGACCACAGACAAAGTAGAAGTCTGAACGATCTTGGTGTGTGCCCAGGGATTCCGTTGTCAAATATGCATCGGCACAGAAGGTAAGGAGGAGAGAGGTGAGAGATGTGCCTGGACAGGTGGGCAGGGGTTGAATATTAGAGTGCCATCATTCATTCATGCAACAAGTATTTATTGAGTAGCTACTATGTGCCAGGCAGGTGCTGGGGATACAGCAGCAAATAGACAAAAATCCCTGCCTGCAGAGGGCTTACATTCTGATGGTGGAGACAGACCATAAACAGGATAAGTCAAATTGTAGTAAATAAGATGATGAGAAGTGCTAAGCAGAAAAAATAAAGCAGGGCAAGAGGTTAAGATATATGGTGTGTAGGTGTGTGTGCGCACGCACGCGCGCGTGTGTAGGATTATTTAGATGTTCAGTCTCAAATAAGGTGGTTGGAAAGGCCTGAAAATGAGATATTTGAGCAAAGACATGAAAGAGGCAAAGTGAGCCTTGTGTATGCCAGAGGGAAGACGATAATTCATGGCAGAAGGAGCAGCAAGGGCAAAGGTCCTGTGGCGTCAGTGTTGCCTGGTGGGTTTGAGGAATAACAGCATGGCTGGAATGGGATGACCAAAGGGAAAGAGTGCGAGGAGATGAGGTTTAAGTGGTAAAAGGTTGGGGCGCAAATAGTGTAGGATCTTGAAGACCATTAATTAAGACTGACTTTTACTCTGAATGAAATGGGGAGCCATTGGAGAGTTTCAAGCAGAGGAGTGAAATGGCCTGACTTTCATTTTAATGAGATCACACTGGCTGTGGGGTGGGGTGGAGGAGTTTAGATTAAAAGCAGAGGTTGGCGGTGGAGGTGAGAGGGGAGCAGGAGCTCAGTGAAGAAGCTACCGCAATAGTCCCAACAGGAGGGCGCCTGCGTGGCTCAGTTGGTTAAGCATCTGCCTTCAGCTCAGGTCATGATCTCGGAGTCCTGGGCTCGAGCCCCATGTCAGGCACCCTGTTCGGTGGGGACCCTGCTTCTCCCTCTCCCTCTGCCCCTCCCCCACCCCCTCCTCGTGCTCTCTCTCTCTCAAATAAATAAACAAAATCTTAAAAAAAAAAAAAAAAAAAGTCCCAACAGGAGATCCGGCAGCTTGGATCAGGATGGTAGTGGTGCAGGTAGGGAGAAGTTGTATGATTTAATTTTTTTATTATGGAAAATTTCAAACATAAACAAAGGTGGAATAATAAAAGGAACCTCTGTGGACCATCACACAGCTTCCACAATTATCAAACTGAGTAAGGAAAGGGTTAAGGTCTAGGTAGGGAGAGACAGGGAGCCCCTGACTAGGCTCTGAGACTATTCCTAGCAGGCAGAAGCTCTAAGACAGGGTGAACCAGAGATAAGGGAACAGACCAGACCACCTGGCCCCGGATGTTAGCGAGTAAGGTTCTTTGGCCGCTACAGTGTAATCACAGAAAATGACCAGGTCTCAAAGAAATAAGTCATGAAGGGTGTTATCAATAGTCCTTGCTCAACCCAAGATGGCCCAAGAATCTCAAGGCCACAAGCTTCCTGGTCAAGTTTTCAATAAAAGACCAGCCCTAAAAACCCTCAGTGGCAACCGGTGCGGGACCCCTCTCACTCCTGAGAACTTCTTTCCGTTCCTGCTCTCACCTTCACTTAATAATCTTTCACTTCACTTCAACCTTTTGTGTCCATGAGATTCATCCTTCAACTCGGTGAGACAAGAACCCAGCAATCCTGCAACAAAACTGCAGACAATCTTTCAATTATACTCACATCCACATCTCCTCTCCCGTGTTATTTAAGCGTGAATCCTAGACGTCACATCATTTCACTGCTTCTATTTTGAATATAAACAGGTCTTGCTAATGGATAGAATATGATGTGAGGCCAAGGCTGGACTCAAGGACCACTCCGAGGCTTTGGTCTTGACAACTGCAAGGATGGAATTGTCCTTAAGTGAGACAGGAAGGAAAGACTGGGAAGGGCGCAGTGTAGAATACCTCTAAGCCTCGGTATTCTCATCTGTAAAAAGGGAGAGAGGGCATCATTCCTACTCTTCCACCTAAGTTTCCGGGCAGCTGTGAGGATAGGAATCCAATGACATTGTGTCGATACAGACTCTTGGTGTCAATGCCATGCAGATGCATGGAATTATTAATTTACTGAGGAATAGAAAAAAAATTTATTGAGTTGCAGAAGCAGATCTTAGTCAAGGCTTTTGGGGCAAAAAAAATACCCCACCTACTCACATTCACTCAATGAGTAGGTGTTCATTCAATTTAGGTTGATGAAAGGATATAGGGGAATTTGATTTTTTTAAAAAGCAGGCAGTTGTCACAGCACCCTACAGTGTCTCTCTCTGGGGCTGTGTGAGCGCTTTTGATTCTCTCTTGCTTTGCGTGGCTCCATTCTCTGTGCAGGGGGAGGTATTTTTACTCATATGTAGACTGGAGCTTGGGCTGCTCTCTTCCGACCGCATTTCTGCTTAGACATTCACCCTCGTTTAACTATACCAGGAAGTGCTGTACTTGGTCCCACCCCCCAGGGCTCAAAATCTGAGAGGCTAAGTAAAACCAGTAGATGGGAGTCTACGCTAGGTCAGCTGATTGCTCTTGGTCCAATTCGGTTTGGACAGATGAGTGAAGCTTTTGGGTCGGAGCATAGCCTGGTGTACCCACTACAGCATGGGGTGTATATGGGTGAGTGTGGGCAATCAAAGAATGAGACACAGCAGGGGTCATCCCAAACCATGTGGTCTCCAAAATAGCATTGGACTGAGACCCTCACAAAGATAATAGGGAAGAATTCAAAGTCATTCTTTGGTTCATTCGTTTCTTCAGCAAGCATGTGCTGAACACGTGCACCAGGCGGGTAGCATTCTAGACCACGGGGACAAAGGAATAAGGCACTTGTTAAGTCTCATTAGACCAGGGAGACCGATAATCCAACAAAGGAACACAGTGAGGGGCCCAAGTGCTTTCACGGAAGTTTGAATTGGGTGTTGGGCCAGGAAATGACGCGGTTGGCTGGATGGGGCTTCTAGCCATGGTTCTCAAACTTGAGCATGCACCAGAATTACTTGGATGGCTTGTTAAGACACAGATTGCTGAGCCCCACCACCAGAGAACCTGACTCAGGTAAATCTGGGATAGTTGTTGAGAATTTTCATTTCTAAGACATTCCCAGGTGATGTGCTGATTCTGCTGGTCTGGGGTCCATACTTGGAGAATAATGACTTAGAGCTTTGAGTGTTGACAGATGGAAACACGAGGGAAAGGGATAGTTGAGTAGGTCACAGTGTCACGATCCGGCATTCAGTGCTCAGGAGCTGCAAGAGTTTGGGCACATCTGGTGTGTTTTGAGAGTGATGAGGAGAGATTGAGAAGTAAGCAAGGGCTCAATTGTCAAAGACCTTGAAGGCCAAGCAAAAGAACTTGAACTTTATTCTACAGGTAATAGGAGCCATTGGAGGACGTCATGCAGGGAAGGGTACATTCATATTTATGCTTCCGAAAATCACAGCGGTCTGGGTGGAAAGGGGTGGGTGGGGGAACAGAGCCATAGAAGTCTACATCATGTGCAGCCTGACCATGGGCACTCCTGGGGACCTGTGGCTTTGAAATGGGAGAGCTAGGTTCTTGTTTCACGGAGTTGAAGAATGAATCTCGTGGACAAAGGAGGGTGAGTAAAGTGATAGAGTTTTATTAAGCAAGCGTACAGAAAAAGCTCTCAGGAGTGAGAGGGGTCCTGATGGGGTTGCCACTGAGGGCTTGTAGGCTGGTTTGTTTTTTTTTTAAAGATGATATTTATTTTTATTTTTTTTAATTTTTAATTTTTTATTGTTATGTTAATCACCATGCATTACATCATTAGTTTTTGATGTAGTGTTCCATGATTCATTGTGGGCTGGTTTTTTATTGAGAACTGACCGGGAAACTTATGACCTTGAGTTTCTTGTGCAGTCTTGGTTTGAGCATGGACTATTGATAACACCCTTAATGACTCACTTCTTTGAGGTTTGGTCATTTTCTATGATACTGGAGCCGCCAAAGAAAAATACTGCTGACCATCCCAGGCCAGATGGTCTGTTCCCTTATCTCTTGTTCACTCTGTCTTAGTGCTTCTGCCTGCCAGGAATAGTCTCAGAGCCTAGCCAGGGACCCCCTATCTCTCCCTGCCTATACCTTAACCCTTTCCTTACTCAGTTTCTCTTCACGAGTATGACGGTGTCACAGTCTTTGATCTGCAGGTCTGAGAGGCTGCGGTGATTCCACAGTATCCGATTCTGGAACTTTAGTACCTGATCCTCCACGTAAGGTCCTCCACCTTCCTCAATCTTCTCTTTCAAGTCACGGATGGAGTCCTCAGGGTGGACGGCATAAGGCTTGCTCTGACCACTAGAGTCCTTCACGAAGACCTGGATCTCAGGAGGGAAGGTCTCCAGCACCCAGACGCTCACCTTAGAGAAGATCCCATAATATGCTAATGTGTGCCGGTTGCTGAGCAGATGCCGCTCCCCTCCCGGCTCCTGGAAGGACAGACGCTGTTGCCCGCTGAAGCCCCATGTCCTCTTGATCTTGGCTTTCATCTGCCAGATGCGACGGTAGGGGTTCACTGAGAATATCCAGGCCTCCTCTCCTGCCTTTTTCACCGTCACCTGGACATCCCTTGCTGGCTGGAAGGATAAGGATGTCTCACGGTCATGGCTGTTGTCTCCAAAGCCTCCCCTTTCTGCCTAGTGACGATATAATCTATTACCTACCAAGATACTTAAGGTAGGAAAAGGTGTTATCGATAATTATCTCAGCCAACAGGCATAAACTGGAACTGTCCCAGGCAGAGCAGAACATTTGGTCATCTTAGGCTTACCGTGGGGTCACCTGACTCACCTGACTTGCCTTCTGACTCACCCTGATCAGAGTAACAACCGGCAACAGTTCTTGAAATAACCACTCCTCCTATGTGAAACTATTTTAATGAGTCCCGATCTGTCACATGGGGATAACGTTAGCACATATTCCATAGGTACATCATAGGGCTATTCTAGGTTAAATCATTCAACAGATGGAGTCACAGGGACATATGGTCAAGGATATTCATGTAATAGCCAAAGTCTGGAAGCAGCCTAAAAATCTTTCAGTGGGGCAGGGATCCTAAAAGAGAAGGTGCTTTCCTCCATTGGATCATGATATAGCTGTTAATCCAGAGTGACTCAATATCTAGGGCAGTCCACATGTGTGTCCCTTGTCCTGGCATAATGAGCATCACCCCATTTCATGCTCAAAAATATCCTGGTTTGGACTTTATGTTATATGGTCACGCCCTTTTAGGTCTATAGGTGTGGATATGGAATTGTCTTTCTGATAATTTAATTGAGTAACACAAATAGCCTAATCATTTAAGTAAATAAAAGTAAAAAGGCAAAAGAGTCAGACAGGAATGTGCTAGTGTGTGGGTGGCATATCTATCCACGGAAGGAGATGCAGGATATTGATAAGTGGATGTTGGGGAGAAGGTGGTACCACGAGCCTGGGGATCAGGATTGGAGGGCAACCTACTTTAGTTGTCTGTTCTTTGCAACAGTTTGATTTTTTATTCTTTGCTGAACATGTGTGTTACTTTTTCACAAAACAATAATATTAAAAAAGGTGATGGGGAGGGTTCTTAGCAAGAGTTGGAAGACTGTTCAGTGAATCTTGCCTCGTGGGAGCCTCCTGATCCGCTGGACATGCCAGTCAAAGGGCCAGGGCTGGGTGGCGGGTCCTTCCCACGCGTGAGTCATCCACCTTGCTGAAGCTGCTGCAGATCAGCCTTTGAGGCAAGCCTCAGGATTTCCCTGCAGGCTATGAAATGTGGGACTGGCAACAAGATTTCTCGGGGAGTAGCAGGTTAGGGAAATGAGATCCCTCTTAGTTGAGCTGATAGCAACATCCTGGTCTTTGAACCCTGGATTCCTACATAGTGTTCAGACCCAGGACTCCCGTGGTCGTGTCGGGGAAAGCCGTGCACAGTGGGGTCGCACAAGTGACGTTGCTGTCTGCAGTGGAATCCAGTGCTCCTTACTGATCATTTCTGGAGCATCTATTAAATCTCTCTCTCTCTCACTTTTTAAATAAAGCTTATTTTAAAATTTTTTTTAGTAATCTCTCCACCCAACACAGGGCTCGAACCCACAACCCCGAGAGCAAGAGTCGCATGCTCTTTGACTGAGCCAGCTAGGTACCTCTTAAATCTCTTTTTTGGACAGCAAGAAGTTGAGCTTTCAACAACCCATAATAGGGAAAATGTTACCCCACAGGGTGTATGTATGTGATAAATTCTTTGATTACATCTCTCTAATGGTTACAGAGCAGGGCAGAAACTGACTGCCCATTTCACGGATGAAAGAACTGAGGCCCAGATTCTCAGAGCAGAAGGGGAAGACTTGAATACCTGGTTGGCTGGGACATCTCCATGGAGGGGGATGTTAACCTGTCCTGGGGTCTTAGAGGTGCTGTGGCCAGAAGTTGAGGGGATTCACCGGTGTGTGTGTGTGTGTGTGTGTGTGTGTGTGTGTGTGTGTGTGTGAAGTAAGGTCAGCAGTGAGTTGACTGAGGGGTGGGGGTGATCGTACCTGTACATGCCAGCCCTGGCTGGGGTCTTCAGTCCAGCAGCAGGCCTGCCTCAGGCAGCGAACAGCTTCTCTGGCCACCAGGTCCCATCTCTTTTTACTTCCCAGGTTGTTGGTAGGATCAGCTGGGTCCAGGATAACTGGCCTAGGAGAGAGAAAGGGAGTGGATCTCCATCACACTTAGGACTCTGGTCTCTGTCATTCAAGTCTGTGGGACTGTGCATGCCTCTGTGTAGGGAGACCTTCCTGCAACCAAACCTCTTGGTTCATGATTAGAGGTGTAACCCAAGTTGGCCCAATCAGAGTGAATCTCGGGGATTCTGCTTAGAAGGCTAGGGCAAAGGTGCTCTCCCTGTTGTAGTGGAAGGGATGAGTGCAGATGAGAAGATTGGAACTGATGTATTCATGTTAGCCTGAATTCAAAGGCAAAACCCAGGGAAGGGCAGGGCTGAGCGATTTCACAGAATGGGACCCTGATGAATTAGCGAACATTTGGATCACACCATACCTGAAGCTTCATTTATCCTTGGACTTCTCAGTTACAAAAGCCAGTAAATTCCCCTTGTTTAAAAAACTGTATGAGTTGGGTTTTCTGTTCCTTGCTGCTGAAAATAATGCCACCCAACACACTCACCTGCATTCCTTCAATTGTTGTTTGAGATAGATTCTGACAGTCTCATTTTGGAAATCATAGTACTTGGTCCAATATATGCAGATGTTTTCATAATCTATGAGGAGTTCCATCACAGCTCTAAACCCTTCACCCAGGTTGAAGCTGTCGCTTTTGTCTGTACCTATTTCCCAGGCATAGATGGTCAGTAGCTCCAGAGCATATTTTGGGGGCAATGCTGAGTTTTGATATTTAGGTTTCAAGTACTGCGGGGTTGGGGGGAAAGGGGGGGAGAGAATAAATATGAGATGCTATCCTGGAAATTGAGAATTTCCAGGTTTCTCTGTTTCCAGATCCCAGTAATACTTTGTCAATTTAGGGAACGCCTGGCTGGCTCAATTGATAGAACATGGGACTCTTGACTTCAGGGTTGTGAGCTCAAGCCCCCTGTTAGGTGTAGCACTTGCTTAAAAATAAATAAATAAAAATAATAAAGAAAAGAACTACTTTGTCAACTCCATTTTACATCTGGATTATGCAGCATGTCCATGAAATTTGAAATGGGTCTAGCAGCTTGGTTTCTAGATGGATTACATCCTGCAGCCATCAAAATTTCAAATTGAAGCCTCTCATGGACCTTCTGGGCCTCATCAATCTATGTTTTTGAGTTGGAATGGGGGAGGCAATGCAATATAGTGAATATAGGATCTAATTAAAGAAAATAAAAACACACAGACACACTGAAAATATAACACAAAATCAGAACGAATGGAAAGATGGAGAAAGAGTAGTGTGTGAAATTTTCAGTTCTTTAAAAATTAATTTAGAAATTTATTGCAATTACAGTTTGAATCCCACCAGTTTTTTAGTGGGAGAAAAATGATCTTAAGATTCAAATACAGTAATAAATGCTTAGGAAATCCAAGAAAATTTTGAGAAAGAAAAATAGAGAGGTTGGTATTTGTTTTCTCGGATATGTCTTATAAAGCAGTTGTCACAAAAACAGTATGTTTTTGGTGTCAGAATAAACAATAGCCAAGTGTAACAGAATGGCTAGCCCAGAACTAGTTCCCAGTAGATACAAAAACTTAACAAAGACTGACAAGGGTGATGCAAGGTGGGAAAAAAATGCATAATCCAACAAATGATGCTGGCACAATTTGTCCACCATCTAGAAGAAAATAAGCGTGATCCTACTGTTGCACCAAATACCAAAATAGTTTACAAATGGAGTGAAAGGATATATGAAACATAGTAGAAAAAAATTAAAAGACCACCTACACACTGTGAGCAAGATAGAAAACCCACAACCTAGAAAAGTCAGACCTATTTGTGTGTGTGTGTTTTTAAGTAATCTCTACACCCAATGTGGGGTTTGAACACATGACCCCAAGATCAAGTCTCACACTCCTTCAACTGAGCCAGCCATCTGCCCCTCTTTGTGTATTTTATTTTATTTAAAGATTTATTTATTCATTTTAGACAGACACAGAGAGAGAGAGCGAGTGAGCATGGGGAGGGGCAGAGGAAGAGGGAGAGAGAGAATCCTCCAGCAGACTTCCCACTGAGCACGGAGCCTGACTGGGGGCTGGATCCCAGGACCCAAGACCCATGACCTGAGCTGAAGTCAGGAGGCTGCCCCTCAACTGACTAAGTTACCACCCCTTTGTGTATTTTAAACATTAGAAATAATTATATTGTCAGAGATACTATAATTAAGGTCCATAGAGGAGTGATCTATTGGTGAAAACATTTGCAACACATGAGAAATAATAGTAAATATCTACATAATTTACAAAAAGGCCTTAAAACTGATAAGGAAGACAAAAGACCTAATGGAAAAAGATGCAAAATACGTTAACAGGTTAACTCCCCAAAGTTCAACTCCAGAGGTCTCATTTTGGAAATCATAGTACTTACATAGTACTTTACATTTTTGCAAAGGGTGGACTACAGGGTGGGCAAAGGATGGGCATGAGCAGTGTGAACAAAAAAAGAGGAATGAAGGCATAGTCTCCAAAAATGTTTTTGGTGTCATTTCAGGCGTTTCATGTGAATTTTACCTTCTTTTTTATACTTTTTTTTTATTATTTGAATTTTTCACGAGCCCAATGTAATATTCAAATAACCAGAAAAAGTGATTATTATGAAAATTATTATTATGATGAAATAAATTATTATTCTAAAAACTAGCCTTGTTGATTAAGAGCACACAACTGGGCACCTTTGTGTTCAAATCTCAGCCCAACTTTAGCCCTTGAGCCTCAGTTTTCTCATCCCCGAAATGGGGCTAATATATAATACCTACATTACAGAGCTGTTGGAAACGGGGAGAAAAAATATGCAGAGCACTCAGTATAGATCACGGAAGACAATTAATGCTCAGTAAACAGTAGCTTTCTTCTCATTGCTGTTATATGAAATGCCTGAGGTCTGAAGTCTGTGGAAAATCACACTGGTGGGTCGCCTGAGGTGGCTCAGTCCCTTACGCATCTGACTCGATCTTGGCTCAGGTCTTGATCTCAGGGTTGTGAGATGGAGCCCTGCCTTGGACTCCTCACTCGGCTGGGAGTCTGCTTGAGATTCTCCCCGCCACCCACCCACCGCCCCAAGCAGGCACTTTCTCTCTCTATATATATAAAAAAGGAGGGGCACCTGGGTGGCTCAGTTGGTTAAGCGTCTGCCTCCGGCTCAGGTCATGATCCCGGGGTCCTGGGATCCAGCCCCGCATCAGGCTCCCTGCTCTCTGCCCCTCACACCGCTCAGGCTCTCTCTGTCCCTCTCTCTCTCTCAAATAAACAAATAAAATCTTAAAACAAAATGTTAGCAGGCGCCCGCCCTCTCTCTTGTCCCTGCACCTCCCAGCCCGGCACCTCCCAGCCCCGCTCCCCCCAGCCCCGCTCCCCCCAGCCTGGCTCCCAGCCCCGCACCTGCAGATACCAGTGCTTCACCAGCCGCAGGAGGTCCTTTAGCTTAACAGGTCGACTTTTCACGAAGTGCCTCTGCAACTCTGTGAAGCTTGGCGAGAACTCTCCAGGCGTGGCACCACTGGTTATTAAGTCTTCATAGATTTCCGGTGAGGGTTTAGAGTCCGGGCAAAAATGTCCTGGGAGAGAAAAGGACCTGGTTCGAGAAAATCCACCCTCTGAGGAGAGGAAGTTGGGAAAAAACTGGTAGGTGTAGAGGGCTCGTAAATTATCTCAGGCAGTCCTCACTACTGCATTCTTTTTCCCATTTTATATCAAAACAGGTGGAAGTTTATGGGGTTTGGTAGCCTCCTCAAAAGTCACAGAGATTTTAAATAACTGGCATTGGCCAAAGACGTACCATGTGTCAGGCACTGGGCTAAGCTCATGGAATCCTTAGAACAGCTCCATGAAGTAGGTAAAATTACGTGGAACCATAAGGAGTGCCATTTTTGTGGATCAAACATGGTCAAATATTGTCAATTTCCTATGGTTCAACCTGGTATTATCCCATTTAACAGGTTGGTACATTGA